TCATGGCTCCTGGGTCAATTTTTTTGGGCTTGGCAGCAGATCGCATGGTCACGGCTCCTGGGGTCAATGCATTGGGCTTGGTGGTTCTTTGTGCAATCACTAGGCCTGGGGTTGAAACTGCTGGCTTGGCTTGAGTAGTCGCGGTGATGCCTGCTCACGTGGCTGCTCCTCGGGCATTTGCAGCAGTGGCTGCACACGTGGCTGCTTTTGCGATCGTGGTGGCGGATGCTCCTCGGGCATTTGAGGGCAGCGGCTGCTCCTCTGGCGGTCATGATGATGGCTGCTTATGCAGTTGTGGTGATGGCTGCTGGCCTGGCTGCAGTGCCCAGGGCTAAAACTTTGGGCCACCGTTTTCTAACCCTGCCTCTGGTGTTTCTTTTTTTTTTTAAATTAAATCTTTATTGTTCAGATTATTACATTTGTTCCTCTTTTTCCCCCCCATAACTCCCCTCCTCCCAGTTCCCACCCCACCCTCCGCCCTCACTCCCCACCCACTGTCCTCATCCATAGGTGCACGATTTTTGTCCAGTCTCTTCCCGCATCTCCCACACCCCTTTTCCCCCCAAGAATAGTCAGTCCATTCCCTTTCTATGTCCCTGATTCTATTATAATCACCAGTTCATTCTGTTCATCAGATTATTTATTCACTTGATTCTTAGATTCACTTGTTTATAGATGTGTATTTGTTGTTCATAATTTGTATCTTTACCTTTTTCTTCTTCTTCCTCTTCTTAAAGGATACCTTTCAGCATTTCATATAATACTGGTTTGGTGGTGATGAACTCCTTTAGCTTTTCCTTATCTGTGAAGCTCTTTATCTGACCTTCAATTCTGAATGATAGCTTTGCTGGATAAAGTAATCTTGGTTGTAGGTTCTTGGCATTCATCACTTTGAATATTTCTTGCCACTCCCTTCTGGCCTGCAAAGTTTCTGTTGAGAAATCAGCTGACAGTCATATGGGTATTCCCTTGTAGGTAACTGAGTTTCTTTCTCTTGCTGCTTTTAAGATTCTCTCTTTGTCTTTTGCTCTTGGCATTTTAATTATGATGTGTCTTGGTGTGGTCCTCTTTGGATTCCTTTTGTTTGGGGTTCTCTGTGCTTCCTGGACTTGTAAGTCTATTTCTTTCACCAGGTGGGGGAAGTTTTCTGTCATTATTTCTTCAAATAGGTTTCCAATATCTTGCTCCCTCTCTTCTTCTGGCACCCCTATAATTCAGATGTTGGTACGCTTGAAGCTGTCCCAGAGGATCCTTACACTATCTTCGTATTTTTGGATTCTTTTTTCATTTTGCTTTTCCGGTTGGGTGTTTTTTGCTTCTTCGTATTTCAAATCGTTGACTTGATTCTTGCAATCCTCTAGTCTGCTGTTGGGAGTCTGTATAATATTCTTTATTTCAGTCAGTGTATGCTTAATTTCTAGTTGGTTCTTTATCACATCAAGGGTCTCATTAGATTTCTTGAGGATCTCACTATATTTATCGGCGGTCTCACCAGTCTTTTCAAGGGCCTTCCTAAATTTATCAGCGGCTTCTAGACACTTCTTGAGAGACCTTAAAAGTGTGGTTTTGAACTCTATATCCTCCATTTCTGACATTTGTGTCCTGTTTCTTTGTCTCCGCATTTTTATGCTTTCTTGGTGCACCCCCTAGTGGTCTTTGTGCGTAGTCTTGTTGTAGTTAAGCCTTGATTGTTGTAGGTAATACTGGGAGGGATTTGACCTCCAGCCAACTGGCTGTGAGAATCAGCTGTGTCTGCAGTGGGAGAACTTCTGTCCTCTAGGGAGGTGCTAATCTAGCCTTTGCCTGAGGCTATCCGGCAAATGGCTCTGCACAGGGCTTGGGCGGGGCGGATCCCACGGGATCAACAGGGCAGGTGGAGTGAGCAGTTATGGCTGCTCTCAGTCCCATCCCCAGAGGCTCTGCCTCTTAGTGTCCCAGCAACCGCTGCAAACCTCGGAGAGAAAGCTGCCCTTGAGTTCCGACTGATGACAGACAGTCCCGCTTCTCCCGTATGAGTCTGGGTCCCTAGAGACTCGCCCGAATCTGGAGCTCAGAGTCTGAGACTCCCTCCCGATTGAAACAGACAACCGTGCCCTCTTCCGTCAGCCCGCTCCGCATGCACTCCGCACCTTAGTATTTTCCTTCCGCACTGCGCCTCCTCTGAGTCTCGGTATGCTTTTCTCTTTCCTTCTAGTTGTAGAATTTCCACTCAGCCAGCCTTCCTGTGGTTCTGGGTGATGTCCGTTCCGTCTTTTAGTTGTATTTTTGAAGTGGTTGTGCGAGGCAGCAATCTCCGGTGTTTACCTATGCCGCCATCTTCTGGTGTTTCTATCTGAAAACTAGATAGAACCTGCCTCTGTGGAGGATGGAGTTCCAGTCGTGGGTTCACAGCCAAGGCCTACCTTTCACCTTTAAATCTATAATTCATCTGCATACTGTCCATAAGGGTAAATATTCATTTTTTTCCTAACATATAGCCAGTTGACTCAGCACATTTTGGTGAGAGATTGTCATTGCTCCAACTCCTCTACAATGTCAACTTTGTCAACTATTAAGTATTACCTAAATATGAGTCAGTTTCTGGACTATGTTGTTTTTCGTAGGTTTATTTGTTTAGCCTTTAGCCAGTACTAAACTTTCTTAGTTATAGTAGTCTTATAACAAGTCATAATATTTAATAGTGAAAAGTGTTCTTCAATGTTACTTTGGTTATTCTTGAACTTTTAAAAATTATAGATATATTGAGGAAATATCCTATCTTTGCATATACTTACTGAGATTTTTGAGTGGGCATTCCAGAAGATTAACATATTTATAGTACATATGTCATTTCCATAAATTTGTTTCTCAGTAAGTGCCTCAGAATAATAGTTTAATAGTGGTGCATGGATGTTACATTAATAAGAGAATTCAGCTTATTGTGTACAATTTATTTCAATATATTTTGTTTTAATATTAACTTAAATGATTTTATTTTTATGCCTTATTGATGGTCTATAGAATTACAATAGACTTTAAATACTAAACTTGTTCAACAAAATTGCTAAATTCTATTAATTCTAATATTTATTTATAAATTTTATTAGAATCTTTACTTACACAATCATGACCACCTGCAAACAGCAAAGATTTGTTTTCCTTCCCAATCCTATGCTTGTTTCCCTTGTTTACAGCAAGGGCTAGAACCTCTACTCTGCATTGAACAGCAATGGCAATTGCAGAGTTTCTGCATCTCAATCTCAGGGGAAAACCTTTTATTATTTGTTTTCACTTTCTTTCTGCAAATGCCATTAATTCACCCTCACTGGCAAAAGATATTTTCACTGTGTGTAGAATTTGAGGTTTGCAATTATTATTATTTTTAAAATATATTTTTATTGTTTGCAGAGAGGAAGGGAGATGGTGAGAGAGATAGAAACACCAATGATGAGAGAGAATCATCCATTGGCTGCCTCCTGCATGCCCACTACTGGGGATTGAGCCTGCAACCTGGGCATGTGCCCTTGACCTGAATTGAACCCTGGATCTTTCAGTCCACAGACCAATGCTCTATCCACTGAGCCAAACCAGCTAGGGCTGCAATTATTTTTAATGAGCCAGTTATTATGTTGTTTCACTATCACCTAGCTTCCACCACTACCTTTAAGAAATCAGCTGTCAGTATGACATACTTTATATTATAATCTTTTTTCCTCTATGGGCTGCTTTATAATTTTTCTCTTTGTTTTACATAAGCTTCAATATGAAGTACTTAGACGTGGATCTTTAAATTTGTATTCTCTTGAAAGTTATTGGCATTCTTGAATTCATTAATATGTTAAATTAGTTTGTATAATTTTTATTAGTTTTCAGATATTTTTCTTGTTCCCATCTTTTTGTCCAGATGCAATTCTGATTATCCAGATGTGATATCTCTAGTTTATCATCCTAATCCCTCAGTGTTATTTTATTCGTTCCCCACTTTTTATTTTTGTGCTGCATTCTAGGAACTTTCTTATGACCTATCTTCAGCAGATTAATTTCTTCCATTGTAATTAATTCAACCCATTCACAGAAATTGTAACATGACTCTTTTTTTTCATTTCTAGATATTTAGATATATGGTTCATTTCTAAAAGGTCTACATGACTTTATACTTTCCTCTTTTATAAAATAGTTTTAAACTTTTAAAATTTATTTAAATATAATAACTACTATCATTTTTTTCATCCGATCTACTAATCCCAATACCTGAAGTTATTACAGATGTTTCTGGTATTGGAATTCATGTTATTTTTTCCTAGTTTATTGACTTATCTTTGCATGTAGCTCATTTATGTTCAAAAATTATATGAGAGAATAATTTCATATCTAGAATAAAGAGTTTACTTAATTTCTGCCAAGAGTCTAGGATCGCTGTAAATGAATTAATAAAATCCCAGAGAAAAGCTATGAATTTTACTTATTTAAAATAACTTTATTTAAAATGTTTAATTAATTAATTTTAATAAACTAATATTCATCTTTTCTCTGGATATGTAGTCTATGTACATCTGAAGACAAATATACAAAAGGTTTGGTTAACTGATAAAGCAACTCATTGATTTACCCTGCTTATGAGCGTGGGAAAGGCTTGTTTCCAGTTCAACCTTCCTATGAAACGAGGTCTACAATGACTGTGCAACCTGTGCAGGGCAAGAACACCCCTTGTGGCATGTGCCTTGGAATTCTTCATTAATGAGGGGAGAATCTAATATTCTAATGCTCCAAATTCAATGGTGCTATAGGATTTTATTTCTAACTCCTTCATCCTCCAGATTATTAAAACTGAATTGGGGAATCTGTTATTTTAATTTGAGACAATAGATCCACTCATCATAATTTTGTTGTCTTTAGAAAAGAAAATTCTTGGTAGTACACTTAGAAGCATAGCCTGGAGAAGTGAAGGTCTTCTATCTTATTAAAAAATGCTCAGTGGGACTGATGACTTGGGTCCTTATCAAGGCAATTCTTATAATCAGGTGAAGTCAAGAGTTGGCTATTGTCCTCAGTCTGATGCCTTGCTGGAATATATGACTGGTCGGGAAATAATGATCATGTATGCCAGATTATGGGGAGTCTCGGAGTCCCAGATTCAGCTGTATGTGAGCAAATGGTTGACTTCACTGCAACTGGAGTCCCATGCTGACAGGATTATCAGAACCTATAGGTGAGTCAATATACTGATCTTTTCATTGTGGCTGCTAATGTTGTGATGCTTCCCTGTGCTTCTGATGTTTGAAATAAATGCTTACAGCATCATCTAATTCCCTCTATCACACAGTTATTTAATTGTGAAACTGTCTAATCAGTTGTTAGGTTAAAATGCAGTAATAAGACAGGTCAATGTGGTTCCATGTCTTTCCTATACAGAGATGAAACTCAAAATCTTAGTTATGATTGAACCATAGCCTCTGAATCTCAAAGGGGAGCATCTTATTCTTCCTAGTGGCCACATGGTTCTTTGTGTCCCAACAAATTATGGTGGGATTTATGTACCTGGGAAATCAGAACACCCTAAGAACTGGTAAATAAATGTCAGTGATAATACTGCTAAAATCAGTTACATAACAGTCACTCCTTTCCATTCCAGTACTTGAGCCTGCTACCTCATTGAAGTCACATTTAACCAGCACCGTGGATATCCATGCTTTGTGCTTGCTGAGACTCTCAACATTTGAAATGTTACTATCCTATAAGCAACTGATTTATATATCCTTCCCTTTCCCTGCATTCTCTCTCCTTCTATGACCATGAAGTGGAGGAAACAAACGTAGGCTGAGTACTGCTATTGCCCTGATGGGAAAACCCACAATTATTTTACTGGACGAGCCATCAACTGGCATGGACCCAGTAGCCCGACGTCTGCTCTGGGATGCTGTGATGCAAGCACGTGAAAGTGGAAAAACCATTATTATAACCTCCCACAGGTGTGACTCATTGGGAGGCTTGGAAGAGGGTTGGCAAGCATTGTAGTGGTTGTTCAAGAGAATTATTTGGGGCTAGGAATATTGGACAGCAAACTTGCTTGAGAATGTGAGTTCCTCATTAATCCTAATCAGTGGAAGAGTCAAGAATCCATTAAGTTACATAACCAAGCGTGGGGAGAGGACGAGGAGTTCAGATGTTCTATGTGAGGGTTTCATACTCATTATTTGAAAAATTTCCACTTCTCAAGTATGAGCTTTATGATTGGCAAATTCCACTTCCCTTTAGAAATAGAATCACAAAATCCTGAATTATAGAAGGTCCTCCAACAGGGAATGTTTCTATTTTACATTATTCTGGTACCTTATTTTGCTAGGATGGAGGAATGTGATGCCTTCTGTACCAGGCTGGCCATCATGGTGAAGGGAAAGTTTGTGTGTCTGGGCAGCCCTCAGCACCTCAAGAACAAGTTTGGCGATGTTTACATCCTAAAGGTCAAGGTCAAGACTGATACACACAAGCATACATTAAATGATTTTAAAGATTTCATCACAATGACATTCCCAGGTAAATTAGATTGGGCTGTTTTGTTCAAGATGTATTATATCATATGTGTTGTTCTCACTATGCATATGTTTTATGTCTTCAGTAACTGTTGCTGTGGATTACCAATATAATTCCTTTTGGGATTGTTGTTTCTATAACTTCTTGTGTCTGGTTATGCTAAGAAATTTTGCACACACAGAAAAAGGGTTCACACTAAATTCCTATATCACTTTAATAAGACAGATTTGGATTTCTTCTGTCCATGTAAATTATATCTCTAAGTCACAATTATCATCATAATTCTCAATTATCTATATACTAGAGGTCCGGTGCACAAAATCTGTGCACTGGGTAGCGGGGTGTGTCCCTCAGCCCAGCCTGCACCCTCTCCAATCTGGGACATCCCTCTCACAATCCAGGACTACTGGCTCCCAACCACTCGCCTGCCTGCCTCCTTGATTGCCCCTAACTACTACTGCCTGCCAGCCTGATCCCCCCTAACCACTCCCCTGCCAGCCTGATTGACACCTAACTGCTCCCCTGCCAGCCTGGTCACACCTAACTGCCCTCCATTGCCAGCCTGGTCGCCCCCAACTGCCCTCCCCTGATGGCCTGGTCACCCCTAACTTCCCTCCCTTGCCAGCCCGGTTGACCCTAACTGCCCTCCCCTGCCATCCTGGTCGCCCCTAACTGCTCTCCCTTGCAGGCCTGGTCCCCCCCAACTGTCCTCCCCTGCTGGCCTGGTTCCCCCCAACTGCCCTCCCCTGCCAGCCTTGTTGTTCCCAACTGTACTCCCCTTCAGGGCTGGTCCACCCTAACTGTCCTCCCCTGCAGGCCTGGTCACCCCCAAGTGTCCTCCTCTGCTGGCCTGTTCACCCATAACTGCCCTCCCCTGCTGGCCATCTTGTGTCCACATGGGGGTGGCCATCTTTGACCACATGGGGGCAGCCATCTTGTGTGTTGGAGTGATGGTCAATTTGCATATTACTCTTTTATTAGATAGGATATATATAAAAGCCTAAGTGACCGTTATGGTGGAATGACCAGAACAACTGGTTGATATGATACACACTGACCACCAGGGGACATCTCCTGCATTGAGCGTCTGCCCCCTGGTGGTCAGTGTGCTCCCACAGGGGGAGCACTGCTCAGCCAGAAGCCGGGCTCACAGCTGGCGAGTGCAGCTACCATGGCGGGAGCCTCTCCCGACTCCACAGCAGCAGTACTGAGCGGCGGCAACAGGCACAGTGGGTCGGGATGAGCATGAATGGCACGGCACCCGGCCCCAATTCTGGCTCCTCTTTGGCTGCCTGCCACTTGGTGCACTGCTACATCCCCTGAGGGGTCCTGGACTGCGAGAGGGATGTCCAACTGCTGGCTTAGGCCCCATACTGGTGCCGTTCTCTGTAGAAGGCAGTCAGTCAGGACAACTCAGTGACTCAGGGAAGTGCAAGGAACTCAGGGTGAGCCTGCCTCCGCATTTGACTCACCCACTCGATGGTGTTCACAGGACAGACTATGGTGACCCAACCCATGCACATGCAGCAGCTGCTGAAGCTCATGCAGCAGGCCGTGCAGCAGCAGAAGGCCATCAAGCCATAAGCCAGCAGGCGGACATCTCCTGAGGGGTCCTGGACTGTGAGAGGGCACAGGCCAGGCTGAGGGACCCCTGCTCCAGTGCACGAATTTCATGTACCAGGCCTCTAGCTTTTATATAACATCCATGCAAAGTTTGAAGGCTTTTTCCCTCCAGCTGAACATGTAACTCTGGTCTTTTGGTCTTAGCCAGGACATGATATTACAATACAAAGAAGAACCACTAAGCTTTTCTCTCCTTTCAAGAACATATCTGCTGGCAGGGGACAGGGGTGGGTAGAAGGGGTCCATGGGGGAAAAGAAGGGCCATGTGTAATTCTTTCAACAATCAAGATTTTTTAAAAATAACAGGTCTGCTTCTGTATGTTAAAATCAATAAGCCTCTCTCTGCCTACATGTTACCAGAGATAGAAACTCTTTCTCTCCTTTATTGCTCTTTCCTAAACATAAAACAGGGACATGGCAAGGTTCTTAATAGTTCTGTTTTTTATCTTAGTTTCTAATTTTCTAGGTTGAGCAAACTACCACAGAAGTTCCCATTGTGTGTCAGACTGAGGAGTTAAAAGTTTCTCTCTAGGCAAGGGGAAATAGTATGATTAATTACACAGTAAAAATGGGGATCAGAAAATTGATAAGAAATGGATGGTAGAGCAGATGTGGAGAACAGATATATGGGAAAACAATTCCTCACTGCTGGCCATAGGGAATATGAAGTGCCTATGACACATGCACGTTGATATGTCCATTGACTTACATATTCATTCAGCAAAAATTTTTGAAAATTTTTTCATCAGAGTTCTATTTCATGTGGCCTCTAAATTACCACAATGAGAAGCTGTGACCAGAAAACCTCTTTTACTGTCAACTGTCCTAGCAACTTGCTCTTCCTGAAGAGAAACACTAAACTCCAACCCAAGACCTATCCTCAACAATGTGGACACAAAAATGTGTCTTTAATGGGAATGTGGGTTAGAGGCCCAGTTTCAACACTAAGGTGGTTGTTGCCAAGTCCTTCCTCACAATATCCTTAAACAAATAGCCATTAAAATATGACAGAATCAAAAAGAAATTAATATGAAACCTATACCTAAATATTGATTTTTAAAGAAAATAAATAAATATTACAAACAAAAGTCATCTAGAATATATATTTTTAAAAGGACCAAAGTAATGAGAATATTTAGTAATGATTCTACATAATCTCAGGGAAAATTAAGTAACCATGTATTTTTTAAATGCACAAGTAAGATGATTTTGTTTCTGCCATATGGAAGATTATGTACTCTGAAAAGCCATCCTAGTGAAATAAAACAAGAAATTGGTAGAAATGAAACACCTATATCTTTAATTGAGAACTGGCTCAGAAACAAAAGTCAGAAAACTCTTTTTAACAATCAACAGAGAAAACAGGAAAAAAAGAAGGAAAGTAAAAGAAAGGAAACTGAACTGTAAGAAAATGCAAATCCTGGAAGCAAATACCATTGTCAGCACTGGGATCAGTGATAAAGCTCTGGACCCTCCAGTTGGGGAGCTCATGCTGAGATGCCATGTGAAGGGGGCTTCTGATGGGTGGTCAGTAGCACCCTCTAATTCCAAGCAGGAGCACACAGCGATCTTCTGTTGAGAAGACCATCCCTAATTTAGGTTTGGACTGAGGCAGATAGCAGAAAGTACCAGAGAAAGATCTACACTGAGAAGTCATATGATTTAATACATCCCAGAACACTCTGAAGAGGGAACCCTACAGTACAAATCCTAAAGCTAAGAAGGTTTTTCTGGGGTCCAAGATAGAGGATTATGACCAAATCTACAGCTATGTATGGAACAATTTCTGCTGAAAAAGACTAAAAACCAGCTGAAAAGCTTTCTCCACACCAGGAATACAAGGGCCACATCGAGATGTGTGGGAGCGGCAGAGGCACAGCCTCACTAAAACCACCCCTGGTGCAGAGATTCCACAACAGGGAGGGATCTCCTGCCTCAGAGCTTCTCCCTGGGAGCGAGAGGCTTGAGCCCACACTGAGTACTCCAAACCTTGGGACCTGCACTGAAGAGACGAGGCCCTCCAGAACATTTTACATTGGAAATCAATAAGGCTATGCCTGGGGGTTGGGGGCTGTGGGGTTGTGGGATCTGAGATACTTCTTCTGGGGGATAACATGTCCCAGGACCCGGTGCAAGGGCAGCAGCAGTTGGAGAGGTACGTGGATTATGTGTGAAGGCTTATTTGCTAATCTTGTGTGTGTGTGTGTGTGTGGCCTTGGAATTAAAGTGTTCAGGTCTCAGATCTGCTACCTTCATTGGTGTCTTTAATCTAGTGACTTATACTCTCTCTCCCTTGCCAACCTTTGTTTCTTTATCTGTAAAAATGTAGATAATTATTTTAAGCATAAGATGATTGTGAGGATTAAGTGAAATGATGTAAAAGTATTGGGCAATAAATGCACTTTATGCAAGTATAAGGTATTATATCATCAAATATTATATTAACTAGAAGCCCAGTGCACAAAATTGTGCATGGGGGTGGGGGTGGTGGTGTCCCTCAGCCCGGCCTGCACCCTCTCGCAATCCGGGACCTCTCGGGTAGGGTCCCTAGGCCTGGGCAGTAATCAGGGCCTATCAGGGCTTTCCTTCCCCTGGCTGTTGGCAGCTGGCCCTGCCCCCACCACTGCCACTGCTTGTGATTTGTGTGGTGCTGTTCCCCCTCCCATGCCACCAGTTGCCTCCCTCTGCAGGCAACAAGTGTGGGGTCCGATTGCTTGGCTGGCCTGGGCTTCCCTCTGCAGGGCTATTGCTGGCCGCCCTGCACACCTGCCACAGCGCTGCTGGCCGGTGGCCTGGGCCTCCCTCTGTGGGGCAATCAATTGCGCAGGGGCGGGGGGAGGGGGGGTGCTGATCGATGGCCCCAAAGAGGGAGGCCCCGCCCACCCAGCCAGGGCTCTGCAATTAATCGCAGTGCAGAGGGTGGCCTGAGCATCCCTCTTTGGGAAGATCAATCACAGAGCCCTCCCATTGATTGCCCCGCAGAGGGTGGCCTGGGCAATCGTGGGGTGATGGCAGGGGCCCCTCGCCAATTGCATTGCACTCACCTTGGCTGGCCTGCGTGTCATAGTGTGGTCATCCAGACAGTCGTTCTGCTGTTTGGTTGTTCAGTCAACTTGCATATTATGCTTTTATTACTATAGATAATGATATAATTCTAGGCACTATGATAGATTGTGGCCTTCCTGTGGCTACTCCCTTTATACTAGAACATGTTCTAGACAAAAATCTGTCTTCCTAAGGTAACATACAATGGGTGGAAAGGGATACTTATTGGATTTTTCCAAGTATAAGTATCAAAACCATGACCACAATAGTAGAATGAAATCAGCCTAGTCCAGGTAAGTGTCTATAACAATTCCTGGAGGATTTCTTTAGTTCTG